TTAAGCCATTAGTTCAGATAGAACATACGATATTTCCAACTTGCCGGATTAGGTTAACCATTATTCATTTTCTAAGTGCTGAAAAGGGCCATAACTTGGTGCAAATGGAAGCCATAGTTATGTAACTTGCCCAGATCATATACTTTGTATGGATTAGTAAGTGTGTAAATTATGAAGCCATTGGTACAGGTAGAACTTAAGAAAAATCCAACTTGCCGTTCTAGGTTAACCTTGTACGGACAGACGGACGGACGGTTCAATTACTATATGCCCGGGGGCATAAAAATGTGTCCTTTGGACACAGATGCCCCCACATTTCACGCCTTGTCAGTCTATGGACAGAGAACAATACAAACAGATAAATCTATTCCCCTCCCACTACTATGTGAGAGCATAAAAATTGTGAATTTATCATATACACATAAAACTGTTGTTGATTTTTTGTTGTTGAAAAAGCAAGCAAACAACTTTAACTTTTCAAGTAATCTTCATTGCATATTACTTACCTGTATTATCAAGTGACCAGTCAAACCATATGCTTTGTCTTTACGATTTTATCACCACACATTTCCTTCCCATAAAACCATCTCACCCAATACCTATAAAATAAGTATACAATATTCATTTTCAATACAATTTTATACAAGGAAAGAGCTTGGGTTGGCAGATTCACTTAGACAAATATTTTTCAAAAAATGAACAGAAATACAAAAATATAGTACATATCTTTATCTAAAAATATATGTGCAATCTGCATAATTATATATAATATCTCTATTTTACAATTGTCCTTTGCAGTGATGAATTTTGAAGAAGAAAAAAATTGTTTTAAATTTATGAACTTTAATTATAAATTATCAAATGTTGATTATAAAGCCAATAAATTTTGATTGATGTTTTTTAATAATCAACAATAAAATATGAATTGTAAAGCCAATACAATATTTTGACCCTCAGAGAACAACATTATGACAAAAGCTATACTTGACCCTGTTCGTTAGTCATCTCAAACTAAGACAACAAGATTTTCCACTTTTCACACAAGCCAGTGCTTATTTTGCTGGATTTTAATTCAGACAGAACAGAAAAATGATGTATAAAAGTGAAACAAAGCAATTAAGAGAAAAAGCAGCATTATCGAAAATAATTTTAGTTGTAGAGGATGATTTGTATAAATCTTGGAAGAGCATCACACTCCTAATCCAATGTTGGTTTCTTCAATAAAAATTGGTCCAATTATTGGTCAAGACATTAAAAAAAAAAAAAATCCAGAAAATGTCCAAACATTAAAATTTGAAATCAATAATTTTTAAAAGAAAAAAAAATAGTATTCTTTTGAAGAAAATGAAAAACTGAATAAAGGAAGCAATTATAACCTAAAATTCACTACCAAACTATATACCCCAGTATACTTCCAATTTCTTACAATAATCACAAACAAGTCATGAATCCTATTTCATTACACTGTTTCCTTGCTCTTTCGATATGAAGTCTAAACAGCCAAAACAAACTATATGAATCAATATATGCACAATTTGTTTGTCCCCCATACACCCAATTCAATTCCATTTGGTTAATTTCAAAGAAATCCAAATACATGAATTTCCAGAATTCTGTACAAAGGAAACATAAGTTTGGTTCACCCAACAGTGCATAATAAAGCAGGAAGCAAATTTTACCAACTAAGATCCCACATTAACAAAGAAGAAGTATACTTACAAACCGGATGACCCACCTAACAACACACCTTTCCTCAGTAGAGTGGACAATATTCTCATCTGCAAAGTTTTCTCTTTTCGAAAAAAACCCACAAAATTGTCATACATTTAGGCAAAATAGAAGAAAAGTTGACAAGTCCCATCTTGATGTACAATTCTCATGTCATATATTCAACAATATTCCTCTGACTTTTAGCAGATAACAGTACTTCATAAAACACAAATTTACATTATTTTGAAAAAAAAATCATTTTCTCCTGCTTACACATAGTACCCTTACACAAAATATCCATGCAAAATACCAAAATGATCATAACTGAGCTTTTTTTTACTCTGGAAAATACAAGACAATTAATAATTTGCCTGCTGGCAGCAAGAAATTCTACCCATTCACGTTGCCTGACCATTGTCTACACTATTCGCTTTTCAGTCAATACAAATTTTGAATGTTTTGTCCTGATTAAAAACTAAGATTTTTAGTGCGGTACAGAATAAACAGGCCACTGGTTGGTCAATAAAATGTCTCACAGAAATGAACGTAACATGACAAATCTAAACATATTTCTCTTGAAGTTTACATCCAGCCTGCATAACCCTACAGTCCAACATAACTCAGTACTGTTACACACATTATTTCAATATTTTAATATAAAAAATTCCTTCAGAACAATGGACAAATCACTTTTCAAAACAGTTAGTCCCACTGTATAAGAATGTAAAATTTCTGATATCAGTAAATAGCCTAAAATTAGAAATCAAAGTGTTATAGTTTCTGTACTGTCACCCACTTTATTTCAAAATTCAAAACAGTAAGTTCACTGTATGATTGTAAATTTCAAACACTGAAATCCTGACATAGAAAAATAACCCAGAATAAGAAATTGAAAGTGTTATAATTTCTTAACTGACAAAAGCATTTTGGCCGCTAACTTGAATATTAATCAATATTATGATGCTCAGTAGAAAATAACACCCCTGATATTCTGAAACATAAAAGAACAAATAAATAGAAACCAGTTACAATAACATCTGCAGACATACAGGAACATTTATTGTCACAATTTCTGGCATTTTCCAAATTTGTAGATCAATCACTTGATTTTGACAACACTTTTTCCTATCCATAGAGAAAACTAAGTAAGCTGAAAAAGTATTTCAAATAAGACAAAGTTTGATGAAAGCAAACCAAATCCAATGTATAAATGATATTTTTACACGATGACTAATTTGTAAGCAAAAATAACATTTTCTAATATAATAATACAAGTATTATCATCATAAGGTAAAGAACATAATTATGCAAGAAGAAATAAAAATCATGGAAATCATCAATGAAAGCAAAACTACTTTAGTATCATTTACAATTGTGACATCATGACTCTAACTTTCTTCTTGTAGCCTTTTCTTAAAAAAAGAAAGAAAACGGACCTTACCAAGTGTATCAACAAAACCCCACAGACAAAGTGTAGCAAATAATCTTCATGTACAAGGTTTATCAGTTTGAAACTTCCAATCAAAAGAGGAAGTATATGAATCGGGTCATTTGCTGTCACATGCAGGTTCTATGATCAATGAATTGATCCCATAACAACCTGAACTCCAGAACTCTCAAGCGTTCTCTGATTCAAAAAGGTCCGAAGTAGTCACTGGTGTAAATCGGTTCCATCTTATAACATGATGTCCTAATACATATGTACACTTTAAAAACACTACATAAGTCAAAATCTAAGCAATGAGTATCTATTAAGAATGGTTTGCTTTATATCGCAAATAGTTACAAAACAACAGAGTCTTTTCTTTAATTACCATCACCATCATTGACAACCAGTTAGGTGCAACTTGCCTTCTACTCCAAACCATGGGATTCATTCATCTTCATGTTCGGATACATTGTAACACAGATCTGAACGATTCACTCAAAATCCACAAAAATGTTAAATTTTCACATAAAGAAATGATTTTAAAACTTAAAGCATGTTCAGATTGAATATATAAGTTTACAAACATACATATTTTAAGCAACAAACCTCACCTCACCAAAAAACACATTATAAGTCTTTTGAATGACTTTCAAGTTCTTCTTTTTTCTTAGGACGACTTCTTAATTTCATGCCTCTGTGATGGAGGACTTTAGGAGCCCCATATGTGCATTATTTGAAGCACAGGAAGGAATGCAAGTAGAACACATGCTCTCCTGTACACTGGCTTGATAGCATTTTTATACTCTGAAAAGTACTTTGAAGTCAGTGACCTAAAGAACTCCGTCAGAAAGCGCCCTGACAGAGCATGATAATTACAAAATAAGCACAAACAATAGGGGATGATACATTTTTCAATGCCTTTGTATACATCTTTGATGCCAAATTATAATCCTTTCAAAAGTGAACTTCTGAAAAGAAAATTGAAAGAAAACAAAACACATACAGCAAGAAAGACAGCTTGGTAAAATGAACATGTTTTAAAACACACCTTGATATACATTTTACCAATTCTATCCTATAAACCTGAAAAATATGCATAAATCTTTCCTAAAAGCAAAACAATTACAAAAAGAAACATGTCCCTTACATGCATATTACATACAGAACTTCATTTTTAGCATTTGACATTTTGCAAGAAAAAGGTCTTTATTTTACACAAAGGCCCCACATGTTTAATCACTTTTGATTTCATTTACATGACTAACAAGACATCCATTCTGTGATTTTCTTTATTTTTCTAGCCTACAGCGAAGCTCTGGTGAACATTTTGAACGCCCATCAACTGGAAAAGCTGACAAAACTTGTATATGCATGAATCCAATGGCACTTATTTTCACAAGTTCTATATTACACAACTTAACACTAATGCATAGTTCCAAAATGCTCTACATCATTATAAACAAACACTGTATTCTAAGTAAAATATTTACATTCTACCTATTTCCAAGTCTTCATTCTGAAACAATTCAGCCGATGAATGGAAACATATTATAGAGTTGAAAATGGTAAAGATATGGTAAACCCATATGGCATATAATTCTAGCTTCACTATGGATGTTGACGACAAAATGACAGGGCAAACACCAATGCACTTCTTTTGATCTTCCAACTCCGTCTTTCCAAATGACCTAATTGTATTTATCTAGCAAGATATATTAACACTTACTACATCCAAGTTAATTATCAAAGCAATATTTTTCCCTTGAAATAAGTGGAAGAATAATAAACAAAATAAATGACATTCAAACCACTTCTTTTTATAATAACATTAAAATTTAAATGAAAACAAAATCAGACAAACCTTTTTTTATGGTGACATATTTATTTTCAGTTACAAAATCTACAAAGCACAGGCAGTTTCACAGCCAGAGTCATTCTTTAAGATGTTAAAATACAATTTCACCAGTTTCACAAAGAATATAGGTGCAACAGATCAATGAATATGTGAACATATGATACTGATAAAAGACAATGCTAAACAATGTAATGTTTTATGGAAGATTTACAATGAAAAAAGTACATAAATTTCAAAGAGCCCAACAGCATTGAAAATTGATGCTAAGATCATCATGATAAAAACAAGGCTTAACCCAAAACAATCTTCTTAATACAGAATACAGTTTTTCATCAAGATGGCACTAAAATTCAATAATATATTCACAAAGTAATGATGGAACTTTTTGTCTACAAGTGGACACATTAAAAAACCATATTTCAACTGGTTAATTCAGTATCATTCAACAAAATACTTCACCTTTTATATCAGTACTGAATAACAAACTTCCGAGTCTATGTAAGCCATTTTGCTTCGAGATTCATTCAATATAATATAATCTAAATACAACACGTATTAAAACGGCAGATGTATTTCCAACACTTTTGATGCAAAAACTGAGTGCTCCACTTCAACGAACTTAGAAGAAAAACCGACTTCACACAAAACACTAATGGGCCCAAAAACTAGACTGATCCGTCAATGAAAATATCCAACTGTACAACGATAATTAAACCATGATTTATCAGACTCCAAGTTAAAATGATTTGATGCGGACATATACCAGAGTTTATCTTCAGTTGAGAAGCTTCACAACTATGTCCCGACCTTCCAGGTTCACACGATTCATCCTCTCTGAAAATAGAACACCACATTTATGTCAATAACTGTCTGCCATACTTTTTTTTTTCTAGGCATGAGCTGGCACCAGAGTAGAACCACTGACGTTCTGTAATTTAGCTTGATACACTTCCTCAAAGGAAAGAATCCAAAGTCCCTGATGAGATTCCAATGGCCTTGACGTCAAACTAATAGCTAAATAAAAAATATATCCAAATGATCCGATATTTCTTTCAAGTCTAGTACTGCTACCGCTTTTGAATAAATTGATAAATTTCCCACCTAAAAGGGTGGGTGAAGACACGTAATGTCACAACATATGGTACTTCAAGCACCAACAATTTCAGGTATGATAATGTTTGTTTGGTTTTTTACAGCACACCAACACAGTATAACAATGCAAAAAAGGAAAACAAATTGACTGTCTAAATAAAGGCACCAGCTTTGAACTGAATAATCAGACTTTTAAGACCATGCCGATTTACATCCTTACAAGATATCAATGGTGACGAAAGGAAAAATAGAGAAACAGAGGCTTCCAAACAAATATATCATACTCGAGTTTTGCATACGAAAACAAACCTACCATTTAGCCATCTCATTAGCATAAATAAATAACCTATGGGAGCTGTACGATTTAATAAAAATGTGATAAAACTTAGGAACAGCTGGAGGTGTATGATAAAAAATGTTTAAAGACATGATAAAACTTACGGACAGCAACCTGTGCATCATCTTCTCTTCTAAAACTGACCAATCCCCAGCCGTTTGACTTTCCTTTGTCATTTTTGCTGATCTCAGCAAATCTTATGTCACCTGTATTCAGATAACAAATTTTCTTTAACATCAAAAATGCTAAACACATGTAAGTATTTAAACTGACTCAAGCCAAGATTAATTTTATTCATTGTTAAGATACTTTACTACACATTTAGTAAATTCTGTGGAAGGAAAGATCACAGTAACCCTCTTTAGTTTAAACCACATTAAATCTTCAACATATCTATCTTATCAAAGAATGAACAAGTACTCAATGCTGAAAACAGTACTTCTTGTCATCGGATCCCACACAAAAATTTATACTCTTAAGCTTTAAGAAAGGAGAAAAGAACAATTACTAAGGTATATGCCCAATTCATTTAGGTTTATGACCAATCAAACTATAAACACTTACCAACACTTTGGAACTTTGATTTCAGAGTTTGCCAGTCAACAGAATATGGTAACTGTAAAAAGAAATATTATTTCCTTGTAATAAATCATTTTTGAAAACAATATTATCCTATATTTGATTAAACAATAGCTCTCATTGAATTAATTGGCTCGTTTATCAAACTTTGCAGTTTGATGTGCATATAGATCTAAATAGTGCATAAAGCCATATAGATCTTAATAGTCATGTGACAGACTGAACATAAAGACAACGGCAACCTGTGTGACTATAACTTTTAAATTACAAAACTATAGCTGAATCTAAAGATGGAGATTTAACTGAAAGACTGTCTGAAGACATACATAGATAGGCAATTTAATAACTCACAAATGTTTTACTTTGCTTGCAAGGGAGACAAATATACTTAAACTGGAAAGGGAAACAATCAGATAAAAAGAAAATTAATACAAAATGCTTAATTATGCAGATAAGGTATCTTTTAAGGAACTGAATCACAAACAAAGTACCTTATATGTTACTTTCTAAGAAATTTATAATTTAATTAAATTTTTTTTTTTGGTAAACTGAAACAGGAACTTACATTTTTCACAATGACTGTTGATTTATCTGCCCTTGTTTTCATATCGCCTTGTGGCAAATTTGTGGAACTGCTTCTGCCAGAGTCTCTACCATAGTCCATGCGTGATGACATGCCAGAGTTGTAGTTGCTCATACCAGACGACCTTTGAGTGTTGTCCATCATGCTGCTGAATCCACTGGAACCACCCATACCGGTTCCCATGGAAGACATTCCAAAGTTGTCATTTAATCCTGTTGTCCCCATAGAGCCGGTACCCATGTTCGATGTTCCCATGCCTGTCATACCACTAGAGAAGTTGTCTCCCATGCCCATTCCAAGTCCTGTTCCCATTGAACCCATATTACCCATACCTGACATACCCCCAGCCATTCCTGTTCCCATACCAACTGAGCCCATACCAGACATTCCTGTACCCATACCAGTACCCATGCCTCCCATATTGCCCATGCCACCCATTGCTGACATGCCCATAGTGCCCATTCGGTCCATGGTACCCATTCCCATCCCACTTGATCCCATCCCCATACCAACATCTGAGGCTGAAAGAGATAGATAGGACCAAGTTAAAAATATGTGGTTGTTTGGACTGACTATTTAAGTAGTATAAACTATAAAACAACTTGGCCAAAAGTTTCAGTTTGCACCAGCTTAAAACAATATCCAATTCTCATCCATCCTGGATTTTGCACCAGTATTCACTGTTTATTTGTGAGAATCTGCCATCCTCTGCTTTGATCAATAGAATCGTTTGTGGAGTATAAATTGAGTATAATAAAAAATATTTCAAATAACACTGAATCTTAAAATTTGATCAACTCCAGTGACTGAATCCTAGGTGTATATAAAAACACATAATACTCTCACAACAGAGAACAAATCTGCAAGTTTGGCCAACATGTTAATAACACTCAAGGCCATCCTTAAAAAAATGTTTGTTTGCAGTAACGCGACCGACTCACAAAATTTGCCCCTACTCAAATTTTTTTTTCATGGTCTGAATAAATTTTTTTTTTTAATCAGAAAATTATGCCTTGTGCTTTGTTTTCGTTCTTTTAAAGGTTAATAGAAGAAATAAAATCACATTAGTTCTTATTAAATTAGAATTCAGTCATCAATTTATTAATTGTTACCAGATTATCAAAGCATATATTGTCCAGCATTTTGAAATTCCATGTTTATTTGGGAGTACAGTTCAATAAAAAAAAAAAAAAAAAAAAAAAAAAAAAAAAATCGACCTACCTACCCACCTTGAAAATTCTGGGTCGGGTTACTGCAAACAAATATTTTTTTAAGGATGGCCCAAGTATCAAGTTATATGTATTTAAATTTGTAAATGGATATGCCGCAACAACATAATAAAAGTCATTTTGGTGACACTGGAGTACCCCTCCTTGCATAAGTGTCACAGGCTTAGGCTAGCACCCATGTAGAACAACCATGCTACATTAATTGCTTCCTCACACAAAAAAAATTATCCAAAGGCACTGCTGAAATTCAAACCTAAATTAATGTGAAAAAAATAACCTTAAACAAGGCTACTGTGACGTCGAAGTAGTCAACCTTAAACGAGGCTACTGTGACCTCGAAGTAGTCAATATTTAAAATTATAAAGTACAGTGTAACTTCCGAAAACCGAACACCCATGGGACTTGTCAAAAAGTTCGGATTTCAGAGGTATCCGGAATTCAGAGGTTTATGATAATGTGGACAAGACAAAGCCACTTAATATCACTAAATGTCAAGGAAGATGTGGCCATTACTGTAATATCATATATAACAGTATTTTAATCAAAATAAAGATGTGATTTAAAAGAATACATTTTTATCCTACCTGCTTGTAGAAATGTTGTTTATTGCATAAACTTACATATCGTCCGATGCTAGTTAATTAATTATTATAGCGAGCTCGACGAGCTGGCCCAAAGGGCCTGCTCGCAAAGCGAGCTTTACGGTAACGCGAGTACCTGCTAAGTGATGGTTTTGAAAACTTTCGTCCAAAGTACCGAATTGGACACATCGCAACCTTTCGAATTTAAAGATAACGATAAAAACTGAGGAATTCTGACTGAAAACGGATGTGTAGACTGGTCACCCGCGTACGCCTATGGGAACCATAATTGGACAGGGAACCAGAATAACGGAAGCTGTGTATAAAAAATGAAAATCGAAGGCGCCATGTTGTTTGAAATTTGATAAATAAAAACAATTTTTTGTCGAATTTTGTGGTGAAAACTATCTAGAATGAAAGAAAATGGTCTAACTAAGAAAATGAATCCGAACACCAATATCTTTTATTCAGTCGTTAACGCTGTACAGACGTTTAAAGTATTGTTTACGTGACGTCACAATGTAGCGCCAAACAGCACGTGCAAAACAAACAAATCAAGTACGCTATTTTAATGTCGCAAACGTTTTAAGTTTTACATTTATTTCACTTTAAATAATCTTTATTTCGCTTGAAAAATTATAGAGTGAAATAAAATAAACAAAGTTTTATCAACGTTTTCAAAACTCGTTATTCATTTCACGACAGGGGCAGAGCCATATTTAACACAGTACGTGTGACGTCACACGCACTCGTCACTGCATTTGAAATAAAAATGAGCGATTATTTCATACTATTTCACGTAAAAAGTACATCGAGCTCGCTTTGAGGATTTGCCTTTTTCATATTATCAAATGCAATAAAATCCCTAAAGACGTTTGATGCATACATTGTCCAATTAATTGTCATTTAATCCGCTAATAAACACTTCAAATTGACTGACCGCCGTAAATTACTTTGATTAACCGCATCACTTCAAACATACCATTTCACAGTTTGTGATTTTAACGGGTGTCAAATTACACGATCGCCGCTAATTAGTAAACAATCGATATGGAGATTAAATCTTCCTGCAGTGTAAACATTCTCGATTTACAATGTATTTCACACCTTTGGATATTTCCGGTTTTTGGAGGTAAAATTGCATTGATTTGACTCTAATTTTACGAAAATATCGTCCGGAATTCAGAATTTAGAAGTTCCGGAATTCAGAAGTATTATATTAATAGAAAATAGAAGGGAAAAAATCGGAACTGAAATAATTGTTCGGTTTTTAGAAGTTTCCGGATTTCAGAAGTTCCGGAATTCGGAAGTTACACTGTATACCATGCATTTCCAACATCGGTATCTTGTAACAAGATGGGAGTTTTACTTACAAGACATTTGCTGTAGATTAGTCAAAGAAGGTCCAAGTCCTTTCAGGCCATCAGGCAATGGTTCAGCTTTACCCGCACTAGGATTGTCCATCTTGACACGCATTGTGCGATCAAACAATGTCTGTCCATTAAACATAGCTAAACATTTTGTTAAAGAAATAAGTCATTCTAGTAGAAATCTCAAGTGAATCATTAGAATTCTGTTATCCTGAATATTCTAGAATAGTACACAATATGCAAATAAGTCCATTTGTTTTCTTTTTTGGTTGGATTTCATGTCGCACATGCAATATGGCAACTTTGCAGCTGAGAAGGATCTCAGGTGCCACTACCTGCATTATTTTAGGCACAAACGGGCACCTGAGTAGAACCACAGGCTTTCTGTAAGCTAGCAGTATAGCTTCCTAACAAAAAGGAATCCAAAGTCCCTGGCAGGATTCAAACCTACAGTTGTGAGGGGTTAGAGTTTTGAAGTAAAAGACTTTAACAATTTGGCCATGGACGCCCCAACTCAACATGATAATCTTCCTTGCATTATATCCCATTCTGGTCTAAAATTCACTTTAACTTAAATATCATAGTAAATTTTAAACAAACAACTATCACATATGCCATGTTTTTTTAGTCCATTCTGCTCAGAAGTACAAAATTGTAAACAAGTACAAGAACAATACATATTCAACACAACATATAACAATTCTTGAATTGATACAAAAACTTCCTGATTTATGTGTTGTAGTGGAAAAAGTGGAAAAGGTACTTCATTTACTTCCATCACCATTGACTATGATACTTTGTTAAATAAATTAAGGATACATATAGCTTGTACTGCCTCCACTGGTGTTTCAAATGTGACTGTTCCAAACCCTCTACTCCTGCCACCTTTATCCTCAAAGATTTCAGCTCTGTGCACAGTACCAGCAAGTTTAAATACATCCTTAAGTTTCCTCCATGACACTTTGTAGTCAAGCTGTAAATGGATAATAATAAAACTCAAATGAAATATTAATTGCTTTTATGATGTTATCATAGGAGATGTTATATAAATACTTTAATATACTGACTAAAAGTTTGATACTGTTAAATGTTAGTCATAAATACTATATGCATGCTAAGCTTCTATCAATTTCAAAAACAATATAGTATATTCCACTTACTAAAATTTTCACTTTGCTTGAGGTTTATCAAAATAGTATTTAAAATATGGCTGTTGCAAAGCATTTCAATTCTACAACTAAGTAAATACTAAAGGGGGGCATAAAAAATTACATTTATCTTGTTGACCTGCTTTTCCCCCTTCCATTGGCCTTAAAAATTGCCAAAAATCAAGATCCAGAAAAATACTTACATTTGAAACAAATACTGTGTTGGTCAGAGGACCTTCTATGCCAAGTTGTTGAAGAATCTGTGGATTGATGCCTGTAACAACATTATTAAATGTGGATTAAAATATGTTTAAAGCACATACATTTTTTTAATGAGACCTATATGAAATGAAACACCATGGATTAACAGTATTTTTAAAATGAACATCCAATAAAAAGCAACATAGACTGGCACCAAATGGCTAAATGAGAATGAATACAGAATTTCACAATCATGTGTTTTGGTGCAGGAACTTGCTTGTAAAAAATCCACTGGATAAAACTTATTACTTCTGTTTGTTTGAAAAATGGCTCACATTTTAATTCATTTGATTACAACACATGACAATACCTCTATTTTTTTTTTGTTTGTTTTGGATTTTAAGTCATGTTATATGGTAACTTTCAGCTGAATTGGTGGAAGAAGACCTCTGTTGCTCGTATGTGCATTATTTAAGGCATGAGCCTGCAACTAAGTAAAACCACCAACATCCAGTAAGCTGGCTGCATAGATTCATCACATGGGAGAATCCAAAGTCACTCATGAGATTCAAACCCACATCTGTAAGGGCAAGTGATTAAAATTCAATTGCCGCTCATCCATGTGGGTACGAATCCCATGAGGGACTTTGGAGGTGTGAAAGTCACCTTATGTTTCTACAATTTTTAAAGTATCATACCTGCATTCATTCCACCACCACCACCACCCATACCTCCTCCTCCACCCATGCCACCACCTCCCATGCCTAGGTTTCTAGGGGCTGGTCCCATCACACCTTGGCCTCCACCCCCACCTCCTCCTCTATTTGACATCATCTCATTTTGTCTACGCTCCCTTTCTCTTTCCTGCAACATAAAGTAACATTTGTTTAAGAAAGTATACAACTTTTTGTAGCATAAATGAAAACGACAAACTTCAACAAAACAAATCCAACTTTACGACCAATTCCTTTTTCTTCCAAAAGTTTCCAATACCTCTCTTCAAAAAGAAAATCAAGTAAACTATATTTTCTGGAATTTCTGTGCTGTCTGATCATGTTCTGAGCTGTTTGCTATTCAGTCATAACATTCTGAAATTTTCTTATAATTTTCAGGACGGCCCCCATTTCGCGAGTTTGACCCAATTCTACTCCCAAATTACTTTAAATTTTTCTCATACTTTGAAATAATAAAAAATTCCCCTCAATTTCCTTCAACAAATTTTACCTGCCAAAAGCAGAAGACCAAATCGTCATATTAAAATTTGCTTTTTGCAAAATAACATACGGGTATTAAATACTTCCATTTTTTTTCTTCAAAATAAATCAATGAGAAATTACCCTTCCCTAGGGCCCTAGCCAAAGTACCTTGTAAAACAGTCTGAGCCCCCGAGTTGTTTTTATTTTCATCTAAGAAATCTACCATGATAAGACTAAATTAACGTACCTCTCGAACCACCAACTTTCTGTCTTTTATTTCATATCTGTGCATCTTCTCAATGGCTAAGCCTGCTGTTTCTATATCCCTAAACTCTATCACTCTGTAAAACAATGATACAACTTTACTACAGATTAAACCGCACCTTACTACTTAACCTACAAAAATAGACTAGTTCATATGTAAGCCAGAAAGTGTTGCAACTAGGCTGTGCGATTGGGCGATTTGCGCAAATATTTTGCAGATTGCTCATTTTAATGGTCAATGCGTGACTTTGTGCATCTGACGGTCAATTCAACTTAATTCAGTTAATATTCATCGTATCTTGAACCCTTCTACCATGTTTGTTTAAACTCGCGGTTTGTTTGTTTGTTTCATTTTACGCCTTTTCCCAACAGTATTTCAATAATATAGGCGGGTAGTTTCCTAACCATCGTTCCTGGAGAGTTACACCAGTACTAAACTACCTTCCTCCGCGTTAAACTACCAAAGCATCTCCCGGTAATGACTGAAATATGTACTAAATCCTGTGTAGCAGCCAGCCGGGTCATCTTGCGTGTGCATTGGCGGTTTGATCTGCAAACTTTACTAGCATTTATCAATATTTCATTTTTTCTATTACCATTTTTGTCAAAAATGCCTAAACTAAACGTAAAATAAATGAATTCTCTTCAGACAGTACATCATATTGTCAAACATTTTCAAGCTCATTTGCAGCAAATTTAAAAACATTTTAGGCACTTTTCAAGAGAGTAATCAAATTCAAGGGCACTTTATAAGATTGTACAAACCCTGGATTAACATATGATAGACTAAACTATAAAGAATATAAACAATAATTTACCCAGTTCCTTTAGGTTTTCCATCTGGGTTATTGAACAGCTCCACATACACAACATCACCAACTGTAAAATTGAAAAATAAAAATCATCACTGACATCTGGTATATATTAATTTTCTTGATTTTATCTCAATATATTTCCATATCCTTCAACAATTCACAAACAAAACAAGAGGGCCATGATGGCCCTGAGGTCGCTCACCTGTATATAGGCCCCCAAACTCCCACCCCCCCCCAAAGTTGCAGGGCCAATTTAACCCAAGGGCTTTTATTTTGCACAAACTTGGTAGACACCCATAAGAAGATGTTTCATGCTAAACATCTAAGCTCTAGCTCATTGGGCTTTTTTAAAAGAAGATTTTTTTTTAAGTTTTTAATATACACATATAGTTAAAAAACAATGACACCCCTGGGGCCGGGCCAGTTTTGACCCCCAGGGCTTTTATTTGAACAAACTTTGTAGACACTTACTAGAAGATGTTTCATGCTTAATATCTAAACTCTAGCTATTTGGGTTTTTTCAAAGAAGATTTTTAAGTTTTTGCTATACACATATAAAGAAAATCAATGACCCCCGGGCGGGGCCAATTTTGACCCCAGGTCTTTTATTTGAACAAACTTTGTAGACACTCACTAAAAGATGTTTCATGCTTAATATCTTAACTCTAGCTATTTGGGTTTTTTCAAAGAAGATTTTTTAAGTTTTTGCTATACACATATAAGGAAAATCAATGACCCCCGGGGCGGTGCCAATTTTGACCCCAGGGCTTTTATTTGAACAAACTTGGTAGACACCTATTAGAACATGTTTGATGCTAAATATCTTAGCCATAGCTCTTTGAGTTCTTTAAAAGAAGATTTTTTAAGTTTTTACTATATGCATATAGGGAAAATCAATGACCCCCCGGGGCGGGGCCAATTTTGACCCCAGGGCTTTTATTTGAACAAACTTGGTAGACACTTATTAGAACATGTTTTATGCTAAATATCTTAGCTCTAACTCTTTTGGTTCTTTAAAAGAAGATTTTTTAAGTTTTTACTATATGCATATAGGGAAAATCAATGACCCCCTGGGGCGGGGCCAATTTTGACCCCAGGGCTTTTATTTGAACAAACTTGGTAGACACCTATTAGAACATGTTTGATGCTCAATATCCTAGCCATAGCTCTTTGAGTTCTTTAAAAGAAGATTTTTTAAGTTTTTACTACAGTGGAACTTCGGTAAGTCGAAGTTGGAGGGACTTGCGTAAAAACTTCGACACATCGGGACTTCGACTCATGAATCGGTCTGAATTTCATAACAAAATTTCAACCCTTGACTAGCCCTAATTATAAGATCTATAACGTAACCTACATGTATTTCATGTTTTTCTTTCATTCATTAATCTGATATTTTACATTATTCAATGATAAATATGACATATTAAGTAACTTTTTACGGGTAATGATTTGGACTACCTGTTGACGTATACAATGAAGTTACAAAGGCGTAACAATACGAAAGGGCAATAACTAAACAAGCTTATAGTAAATATTTCGCGTGTGATTATCACGCGACACCGGGTCACGGAAGCACTCAAATGACAGTTCTTATTGTTTACATGTACTTTCAAATACCGCTTAGGCAATTAAAATAGTAACGATTAAAGCATTTTTTCACACATTTAAACGCATACAAAGGCTGTTTGAACATTGGCTGTGTAATTAACACCTGTCAATAAAGTTGATCGGAAATCGTCTACGCGGCCAAAAAAAGAGGTGTGAAAAATGTCTCGAGATCAAAGATGTCAAAATAATCGAAGGACTTCGACTTATTTGTGGTAAATTGTACTAGATTTATTCTATACGGACCACGAAATAACTTCGACACATCGAAAAATTCGACACATAAAATCTCTAGTCATAAATAGGTTTTTATAAGGAATATATAAGGAAAAAAATTGGGACTTTCATTTTACTTCGATACATCAAGAAAATCGACTAATCGAAGTTCGACTCATAGAAGTTCTACTGTATATGCATATAGGGAAAATCAATGACCCCCGGGGTGGGGCCAATTTTGACCCCAGGGCTTTTATTTGAACAAACTTGGTAGACACCCATTAGAACATGTTTCATGCTAAATATCTAAGCTCTAGCTCTTTTGGTTCTTTAAAAGAAGATTTTTTAAGTTTATACTATATGCATATAGGGAAAATCAATGACCCCCGGGGGCGGGGCCAATTTTGACCCCAGGGCTTTTATTTGAACAAACTTGGTAGACACTCACTAGAAGATGTTTCATGCCAAATATCTAAGCTCTAGCTCTTATGGTTTTTTAAAAGAAGATATTTAAAGTTTTTTCTTTCGGTTGCCATGGCAACCAGAGTTCTGCATGGAATTAAATTCTTTGAACAATTTTTAAAGGTGACCACCAAAGGAACATTCCTGTGAAGTTTGGATGAAATTGGCTTAGTGGTTTATGAGGAGATGTCATTTAAAGTAAAAGTTTACGGACGGACGGACGGACGACGGACGCCGGACGAAAAGCGATCACAAAAGCTCACCCTGTCACTTTGTGACAGGTGAGCTAAAAATTGCTAATGTTACATTAGCAATGCTAGATTTCTAGGACTTGCCACCAGAAGCGCAAAGCTCCAGATAGCAAGGGTATCAGTCTAAAATACAAATAGAAAAATCCAAAAAACAAAACAGTTTCAGAATTCATGCTGGTTTTAAAGGGGTAAAAACCCCTTGGCCTAAAACATCATCTGGAGCTCTGGAACTGGAAGCCTATAATAGTATTTGTTTTCCCTAGAGAATGAGAAATCCTATTTTTACAAGGATTCTTAGATTGAGCATGCACCCAAGAACTGAAACATAGAGTGCTTTTGAAACCAAAAAAAGTTCAGCACAAGAAAGGGTATCCATTTCACTTTTACTATTGTCGTTTTCACTTCAAAGTGTGTCTTATTTGGTTATAATTTCATTCAAAACCTCCCAATATTATCATTAAGGTTTTGAAATACTAAAACAAAATTTACCTTCATTTCTGAAGATATCTTTAATTTCCTGCCATTTCAAATCATAGGGTATGTTACTGATGATACATCTTTTTGTTGTCATGTTATGTGGCCGTCTAGGAGAACGAGACCTACTCCGTTTCCGGTCACGTTCACCCACTGGAGATCGAGATCTTGACCTAGATAAAATAGAAATATATATAAATCCAGATGATTATTATCAGTGATTTTTTTTTCAATTTTCAAAACAATCTTTGGCTTCCTGAAAGGGAAAATATAATGTGATAAATTAGAAAAGGGAAAATCAAATTATGGAATTTATCTACACATTTTATAAATTCAACTTAACATGCATGGTGCTTAGCAGAGGCAATCCAGGGTTCTCGGGGACGCTTATTTCGGCATCCCGGTACGCATGTTTATTACAGCTGGACGCAAATATTTCAGAGCAAGGATTCCACGTACGCTTAATTTTGCCTGGGGACGCATAAACATTACCGATTGTTTACAACCAGAAACAATACACAAATGCGTCAGCGCGTGCCAGTCTATAGGTAGGCGGTCCTATGCACATCGACCCGTGAAGCGATTAACCAATCAGCGATAACGATTACGATCTTTATCACGCAATAGTGATCAGACTAATGTATACACGCGCTGTACAGTACATGTAATTACCAGATATAACACGAGGTGATAATTTTATATCTTTGATCAACAGTTGATTGGAAATTAGCAAATTTTACCGACAAAAGGATAAAATTATCGACTAATTACGCCGCAAGTTTAAAGACTGTTTCTCAAATGACAAATGAGTGTAATTTTGAATGATTGTCGAATCATGCACAATTTTGCTTTATTTTCATTCTTGCAAAAACTTTCGATAAGGCTATTAAGAATTTAAGATATTGTGCCGAAATGCCAGGACAACAAACCAAAATACACATTACGCTTTTCTTTGATATTTAGATTCTATCCGAAAATTGATCCCGAACATCGGCGATTTCACGTTCGCCAGAAACCCTAAAATTTCGCAAAAATTCTCGGTTTCCAAGCCAAACATGCGAATGAATTATTCCTTTATTATTTAATCAACATTAAATCTTTAAATATCGATCTTCAATTTGCCCCCTTTTGAAGATATTTGCTAAAATAATTGTCGATCGGATGAATCTCTTACACACTGTTTGAAGCTGTACACGATTTTCCTATTCATTCCGCTAAACGCTGCCTATATACATTTACGTTTTTTTACAAATATAAACTTTTTGTCTTTAGAGTGGACTTATTTAACCAGAATGAAATTTGATTTGGTATAAAAGAGGAAAAAAAAAACAAACAAAAACGATTTCCATGTGTTGATGCATTATAATGAAATAATTTCTTAATAAATATCAACAACAAAACAACATAACAATAATTATACTATGTAGTTCAGAGTTTCTTTTGAATAACTATAAACTTTGGAAGTCTCTTGAAGATTCAAAATATCAGCAATTGAATGACTAATCTGTAAACATATTAATTGCGACGTGCTTTTGGACTCCAACTTTTTCAGGGTTGGGAGTCCATGGACTCCATGTTTTAAAGTCCTAGTGAGAACCCTGCAATCTATAGGGACATTTTCTTGAGTAAAAAAGTTAATGAGACAAGAATTGCTAAATAAATAACAAAAAAAAAAATAAGGCCGTGTTGACTAGAAATAAGATTGACTTCGGGTCGAAAAGACTCGAGCGCCGAGTTAGTTTTAGGACCGAGTTGATCCAGATCCCTGGAGCCTACCAACCCATAAATTGAGCAATATTTATAAAGGACAACACTGTTTATGAAAAGATGTAGTAAAACAGAGTCAAATGACAGCTCAATATTTGATATATACCATAACTTTCTGATACAGAACATTACCCCACCCACCAAAATCTTTATCACTTAGCTCTGTGATTTTACTGTTTACATATACGAATTATACCCAACGTAACTACAAGATACAAATTGCTTCAAAGAAAATACAATCAGGAATATGTTTAAATGCTTTTTAATGTTTTAGACTGGTTGATCTCCCGAAAAATAAGGGCGAAAAAATAAGCTGCAAAACAATCAATCTAACCTGTCTTCCATTTTCATTGTCCCACGCGCAATATCACGTGACTTGCAACTAACCTAAAGCGGATACAAAGCACAACAAGATATTTTGCTTATTTCAAAAATATCAAACCAAAAGATATGAAATTCTTATTAGTATTATAGTATTACTCAATTACTAAAACAATTTCAGAAACAATCCCATGCTCGGACCAAACATATTTTTCACATATTTTCAGGGTCATATATTAAGGAAATGCAAACGTTGTCATCTTGATAAAAGTACATTAAGCAAATAAGTACGAGTACCTTAGTTCCAAAACTATGTTACTGTAGCACTTTTTATTTTATTCGTCTTATTGCTTAATAACAAACATAAATTTCTTCAGATATGACATTAATAGAAGATAACAAAGTTTGTGATAAAGATTTGTCTGTTCATAAATAGGTCTACAAGTATATCAGAGCAAGAACCCTTATGTTTAGCATAGTTTTGATTATGTACCAGGCTCTACTTTGTACAATTCGTATGTGACGTTTTATCACAAAGAATAATTTTACTAAATAATTTGTATTGTATTTATATACAGTCCTAACACACATTCGCTAATGGTAGTTTTTCTTTGTTTCTCAACAGCCTAAATCAATTATAATTTGAACAAAAAGATAAAGAAAAAAATCACAACGGAAACTTTATTCTAAATACATCAACTACATAAACATAATTAAGTTCAAGATCACTTTCAATCTTTATTTCTGAATGAAGACCTCATGCGATAACCATTTACTGTATTATTTCATAAAGTAACTATCAGTACAATTATGACTGAAAATCATAATCATATTAAAAACGCCAATTGATGTATTAGAACATATCTGTAAATATTATTTTGCGCTTTCACTTTCTACAGTGATAATTTTTTAATAACTTTATTATAAATAATATACTGTTTACTTTTATATCTATAAATTAACTCAATTTATGTGGACTGATATATTGGAATAAACTTAAACAACAACTCCCAGCATTAACTTACTATTTGTGTACATGTTTATTTTTTTAGCAAAGGTTACCGTATCCATTATGCGTATTCTTATTATTCATTGCAATTGTGGTTAGATTATATAAGGAGAATGATGGTCGCGATTGACAAATCTGTGATCTTAGTACAGCAATGCCTCAGATAGATCTCAACTTTTCGTATGCCGTAGCAATGCCTCCTTCGCATATGCCTTCTTTGCAGAACAATGTTAGAGGTGCTTAAAACTCCTTACTATTCTTTATCCCAGTAAGGCAACTACCCCTTACTAACAATGTTGTATTAAATATCTTTTGCCATCTCAGCTAATTTAGGTAGCTCATCGAGTGTGTTGCTGCATAAGCTGTCATATTTTGTCATATGAAGTAACTCTTTACAGTGGATATGTGCATGTCAGAGTTTTTGTGTAAGGAACGAAACTCTTGCATTACTGCAGAATTTTCATAATTTTCAAAAGGGAGACAAATCCGCCGGTTTTATCTTTTAGTTTTAACTGATTTTATCTAATGTTTACATTGATTGAATATGTGGTCAGTATTCTAAGCAATCAAATGATTGGTTCATAGATGATTGATTTTAAGATAGTATTATGTCGTGTGATTTCTTGGTGGAAAAAGTGAGGCTTTGGTATTGTGAAGAAGAGATGCTGGAAATGTTTTGTGCTAGTTGTTAACAGTCACTGGTGTGAAAGTGAGAAGAAGGTATAATACATTTGATTGGTGTACTCTACTCAACCCTCGGATGAGTGATGTTTTGTACCTAATTGATGTCACAATTGGTTGCTTTTTCCCGGGGTTTAAAATAGTGACAACAGGGAACGTGTTTTTATGTTTGACTATTATACAAAAGAGAAAGCTCGGCATCTGATTTATACTCGGGGGCTACGCCCCCTCGTACAAATCAGATAGCCTCGTGTTTCGGTGCTCTTTCTATTACGTAAGTTTGTTTCCAACAACGATGAGTGCCAGTTGCAGATATTTTGTTAACCGTTCAATCAACATTGTCTTGCTGGCATTTTTATAGGAAGAAACTTTTATAGTGCCAATTAATACAGAGACACTTCAACTGTTGAAATGAGTAACTCTTAATTGAAATTCAATTATATAGACGCTTTAGGCCTAAATTTATTCTTATTTCATCGTACCTTTTCAGGAATTATTAACTAAACTGAATTGAAATAAGTGAAGAATTTTTCGAACTTAATTTCAACTTTTATTCTATAAAGAATTAAGCTGTAAATAAATATGAACATTGTTTTTAATTAAATGTAACTCTATTTAATCGACAGGTGCACATTTGGCAATCATATATCTGAGAAGCAAACATATTTGATATTTTGATAACGATAACGTGCTTTATATATCATGTATAACTCTTCTAAGGTATTTTATTAATTATAAGAAATTTTAACCTTTATCACCAATAGCTATATGATATAAAACTGCCATTGTCAGTGCTCTTAAAAACTTTTTTCCCCCTGAAATTAGATTTGGTAGAATCGTAAAATATCGTGTTAATTATTTATTAAAATGCTTCGGTATTTCTCCAGTAAAAGAGTATTTATGTTAGTGAAGACATGATACAAATTCTACAAAGAATCAAGGATAAACCAGAAGCTACACCACATCAAATTTTTTTTTTAGTTTCTGTTTACCGTCGCTTATAATTCCTACATTAGAAAATAAATCCATCGGCTTGGATTTACTTAATTTCAATAGGAATATGTTTTTGATGAATCAAATATTAAAAACTTAATAGTTATTTTAGATATATGCAATTTTTCAAATGGAATTCATTTTTAAATAAACGCATTAAAAATTCTACTAGGCCTCACACGACAGCATATTTCTTTTCTCTTTCAAGCGTCTCAGAGACGGAGAACGTTAACGTTATGCGCATATTTCTATTCCGCCAACGATATGTATTATCTTTAAGATAGTCCAACTGTCTGAAAAACCTTTTGTTTAACTAAAAAGATACTTGTGTCGGGTTTCTTTTGTCATATTAGTTGTTTCTGGAGGATTCATTCTATTTGGACTGTTTTCAAATGTTACGGACGCTTTAACGACGACGTTTTGGAATAAATACATGTGGCAACTATAAACCGGCACCATAATGTAATGTTCAAATGACGTGAAATGTAAGGATGACACTTTTCGGCTTTTACACAAAGGTTCGGCAAATATTTTGTCAAGATTCGCTTTTGTATCAAACACTTTGGTATGTTATAAACGTCAACGAACTTCGCGTTGTTCGAAGCGTTTCCATGGTTATTTAAGGTGACCTTAGACGGTACAGGATGACATGAAATCGATAATATTTTGCAATTTAAAATATGAAACATCAAACATAATTTATTTTCAGAACAAAGTCCGGGCTATTCTGGAACATCCCTTTTACGTTATTTGTTATTGTAGTTGAAGTAACATACACATAAAACTGTCGCAGACTAAACATCATCGTCTTGATTTGTAATCAAATATCTTTGGGCGTACAGTCATTACTTAAAATCCCGAAATAAGCTGCAAAAGCTTTCAGACTTTTTCGTGTCACATTTCCTTTTTGCAATTTAAAGGTAAGTTAAAGTGTGACTAGTGATAGACATATTTAGTTTCATCACGGCCATTGACTTATATCTGCTTAAGACATTAGAAAAATGTCTGAATGAAAAAGGGTAAAGTTTTTATAATTCTCTGCTTTGGTAGCTTTCGATCAATTAAGGTTAGATACTGAATGATTTTTGATAGGCCTTAAGAAACAATCGAGTATAGTCTAATCCCACAATTCAGAGGACTAATACAAAGGGGAGGTACTCGAGATTTCCATGCGAAAGAATTCTGAAAGACATTACCTCGCATTGCATGGGACTTTGCTTGACATAATCTTATGTTTGATGTTTTGATGTTTTACAAAATACATTTTAGTTACAATTTTTGAATTGAAATGTTATGTGCATGAAGTTTCAATTCATATCTTTATTTTGTACAATCCAGATTTTTTGGTATAAGACGGAATAATAATAAAAAAGTAACTATGAAAGCTGTGAGTAACTTTATATCATTATTGGCAACTTGTTACGTTTTACGTAAAAAATTAATGAACACTCGCACTACATTTGACAAAACATTATTGAGAATTCTGGAGTCTACAAATTGCGTGTTCAATGTTATAATTAGAAAAAGCTAAATATAAATGGTTGCGACAGAGTTAGAATCTGAAACATGTTCATTTCTTGGGAAGCCGACATTTGGAAAAAATGTATAACATTCTGATATATTTTTTCACTCCAAGGGAAAAAATAATTCTACAAATTGATTTCGTTATAGTTATATATTCACAATCTTAATTTGTGTTCATTTAGACAAAGTAATTCCCGAAAACTAAATGATGGAAGAATAAATTCAATTCGGAAGTCCCATGTGATTCTTTTCTGATCAAGCTGTGATGAATTTTCTTCTAGCAGTAATTGAAATGTCTTAGACCTAATTGACAATCTTGTTGTAAAATTTCGTTCTCAAAATGTTAACAAGCCACGATTGATTAAGGAAAAGCTAATAAGATGTCAAAATAATTTGAGAACCACCTAATTTAATTATATGTCTGACGCAATTTCATCTGATGATATTTGTTTCCATCATCGATCTATTTAAATGAATAAAACACGTTTATAATATTGAATACGTAACTTTGCGATGCGTGCTCGATGGTAAAAAAGAACGTTGACACGTCGTATATAGCATCAGACAAACGACACCGATTTAATCACTTCCCCACTGAATGTTGACTATCACATATTAATTTAATTTAATTTTTCATTTCAGTTAAAGTTGCAAAACTACTAGATAGAGTTTTTGATTTTACGTGTTCCCAATAATTGGGTACTTATCATTTATGGGAAGACATAACGTATTCTTATTGTATTTGTGTTGTTACGTATTTTATTTGAAATCAGACATCTAGAATCTCAAAGGATTGTCATTGCATGAATACAACTGTAAATTGTATTGAATTTCAACACAGAGTTCTTAAAATAGATTTTACACAAACAAATTGCGAGAAATTGCACTAACAATTC